CAAATTTGGTCCTCCATACAACACACACTACAGATTTGTCCTCTCAAGTGTTGTATGGAGGTATTTCACCCAAAAAAATGTCTCAAACCTTATCATCGCCCTCATCCATTCCAGAGTCGGGCTCAACGAATCAAGACCCTGAAGCCTATTCCTATCTTTTGAATATGAGATTTGAGTACAATATTTCAACACATCATTATCCATTTCAACGTCAAGGAAGTTCCCTCTTCATCGTTGCTCAGTGGCTGCAATACAACAAGCACCTCAGAACCAACACCACTAACAAACAACAATTACAACAACACCGCCACTTCACCTACTAATCCAATATTATATGCTCCTGCATTGAGGGGAGATCTTTCAAGAGGTTTTGTGAGATATATCGGAACTCTTCAAGATCAACCCAAGACTCAACTTTTTGTGGGAGTTGAATGGGATTATGAGGTGAGAGGAAAACACGACGGAGAACTCAATGGTGTGAGATATTTCAAAACTAGTGATGGGCGAAAGAGTGCAAGTTTTATCAAACTCGAAACCTTTTTAAGATATTCCACATTGGGTGTCGATTTCTTGGATGCTGTTCATGCCAAATATAAGAATAAGGATTTCAGAGAGGAAGAAATGTATATCTATTCAGCAACAAAAAAGACTCAAATTTCAGTAGAGCTTGTGGGTCGTAAAGATTTGGAGGAAAAATTGGAAAAACTCGAAAATTTAACAGAGCTCGGTTTGCAAGAATCAAAAGTTTCAAAAATTCAGGAAGGATTGGGCTCTCTTTTTGGCAATGTAAAGTCCATAGATTTAACAGCAAATTTAATTACATCATGGTCTCAAGTTGAAATCATCTTGAAAGAATTTCCAAAATTGCAAAATTTAATCCTTTCATCCAATCGGTTCTCATCATTGGAAATTCAAAACACTCAACCCTATGTGAGCGTGAAAATTCTTGTCATGAATGATGTTGCCATGAATTGGGGAATATTTGCAGAGAAGATATTGCCTCTCTTTCCCCAAGTGGAGGAGGTTCATTTTCGAGATAATAATGTCACCGATCAAGATTTGGAAAGGGTTGTATTCCCTTCACTCCCATCACTTAAATCAATGAATATTTCTGGAAACAAACTTTCTTCCTGGAATGTGGTTTGGAAAGCATTTGGATCCATCCCACAATTAAGTAGACTTTTGCTCAACTACAACTCTCTCAAGAGAATCCAATGTTTGAATAGAGAGGAATTCCCTTCATTGAAGAGCCTCTCCGTCACAAACAATAATATTGAAGAATGGGATTCTATCAATGAGCTCAACAAATTTTCATGTCTCGAGGAATTGCGATTGGACAATAATGCTATTCAGGAAAAATACGGAGTGACCAACACCCGACAAGGAGTTATTGCAAGAATCAAATCTCTTCAAACTTTCAATGGAAGCGAAATTAAAAAGAAAGAACGAGAAGATGCTGAAAAGTATTATCTTAAACAATGCGGAAGAGACAAAATGGCGCTAATGAGCAGTGAAAGTAGTTCCAACAGTAATTACATGAATTTTCTTGAAATGCATCCACGATACGAGGAGCTTGTGTCCATGTATGGAGATCCATGTGAAAACGAGTCATCAAGCTCGGCTACCACAAGAGTCAGCAATGAATTTGTTTCTTTGTACATTAAGAACGTGGCTGCTTCAGTTGCTTCACATGGTCACATTGTTGAGAAGAAAATTCCTTACGGTTTGACCATCAAAAAACTCAAGCTCATGTGCCAACGTTTATTCAAACTTGATACATCTAAACAGCACCTCTTCTACGTCGATGTTGGTCACTCATTACCAGAACCTTTGAGTGACGATTTCAAAGATATTGACTTTTATGCTGTAAAAGATGGAGGAACAATATTGATGGAAGAAATTGATGAAGTGCAGGAGCAACGAAAATTGGAGCTTGCAAAGAAAGAGAAGGAGCGTAGCTTGAAAGAACAGGAAGAGCAAGTGGCAAGAGAAATGCGGTGGAAACATTTGTAATGGTGAGGAGACAATATTTAATACAAAATTATTCCTTTTTGAAAATAGCAAGTAACTTTTACAAGAATGTGGAAAAACAATTCAATGATACCTTTTGCAATTCAAAAACATGGTTCACGTTCACAAACCAATAATTCTCCACTTATTTAAACAAAAGGAGTATGGAAAATAGTTAAAAATCTCTTTGCCTCCAAAGGAAGCAATAGGTTCAAAAGCATCGAACCTGAACTCGACGATTTCCATTGTCACAAACTAAAATATTCTGAAAATCGATCGCAAAGAACATCGCAAGGATCATGATATTCACCAAGTTCATCTCCCAATTGTCCAATGATTTTGAAGGAATTCCATTCTGTTGTATTCTTTATCTCATCGAAGGTCCCTTTTTTAAATATTTCTACTTCTACAGCCAACAATTTCCGAATGATTCCAGGCTGTCTAAATCGATCCCGTCTTAAAGAAACAGAGAAAGTGAATTGGTCATATTCCTTCAATGCTTGAATTCTCTCGAAGGGATGAGAATTCACCACCATGAGAAACTGTTGTAGTGTTGCCATTTCAGAAGTCTAATCCTTAATAAAGAACAGAATAGTCACTTATCCTCGGGCCAAACCATTCTTCTATTTTATGGAAAATGAATAAATGAATGTACACACCTCAAGCTGCCTTGTGAGCAAATGCTCTCTCAAGTAGTTGCGATCCAAACCCTCCAGAATGCTCTTGGGGTGGTTTGAAATTACAAGCCACACACCAATACATCTGAAGAATATTTTAATTGTTTTTTTTTCTAAAAATGGAGATTTTAAAGTCACCTTGTCGATAGGAATGTGGTTCGAGCGAACATCAAGGCTGTTTGATTTAACAATCGGCCCTCTCCGAAATGTTTAAATTCGCATTCAAGAGACATTATTAATACTCATAATAATTTTATTGATTTGCATTTGTGGCAAGTTTATTCTTCAGGGGAGGAACAAAACCTTCAAAGGAGGAACCAACTTTTTTGAAGTGCTTGTGCAAAGTTCCATGTAGAAAGTGTGGAAGGTCGATTAAAGGCTCTTCATTCTTCTTGAAAAAGTGCCTTGAACGCTCTTTTTAATAGTTCTCAAATAATGAGATGGCACTCAAGTGAAAATGGAATTCCAACTTTCATTGAATTTTGCATATGTGGAAGCAATAAGTACGAGCAATTATGCATTTCTCGATACCAATACCTCAGTTCACATATATTAAGGGTGGAAAAGTGACTTGTTTCGAAAGAGTAAACAATAAAATTCGTTTGTTAATTAAAGGAAGGACTAATGGGTTTGTGGTCTCTCCAAACACCCAACCTCGATAAAGGTCCGGTGTTTGTGGGATTTTCTGCATATTTTGTCAATTGACTTATTTCACGACAAGGCAAATGAAATGCAATTCCATTAAAAAAGGTTCTTGTATATAAAGCTTCAAGACATGTTGTTTTAATTTCTGGAACTCAGTTGGGAGAGGAAGAGGTGTAAATTGGTGAAATTGACATCCATGTATTCGTTCATGTGCATCATGTACACATTATGAAGATCAGTAACCATTTTAAATGTGTCATGAAAGCAATAGTGAGTAATGTAGAAATGTCGATAAAGAAAAATCACCTTCTTCCCTGTTAATTTCAAAATATCCAAAACCTTTCGATAATAGATTGCAGTATTACTTTCTATAGTCTGTACACCACGTCATACTTTTTCAAAAGAGGTGTAAATTGTTCTTTCACGATTTTTCTCGTTGCAAGTTGGTGTGGTAATTGTTGATGACAATATTGATCAGACTTGAAGCGAGGAGAGAATTTCAGAAAATAATCTGAAAACTTCTTTTGGTCTGAGTAGGTTTGGTAAAGAAATAGAATTTTTGGTTCTGTGATGGAGGATGTTATGGTTGATTCTAATGTTGTGTTGGATGGTGGTTGAGGTATTCTCAAATCGAATGGACACCAAAAATCTGGTCTATGTTTCTTAATAAGGTCAAATAGCTCAATGTTGGACTGAATCAAACTACAACAAAGCTCTTTGGGAAAAGAATAATTATTCTGAGGGATCACTTGACATAATTTCGTGGATTCTTTTCGCTCAAGAATACTCATAAATTGTTCTTGAACTTTTTTTTCTGCAAAGGATCTCCAATGATGAAATTCACAATAATCAAAGAAAAATTGGAAGTGCTCAGTAGATGACAGAAAATTATTAAAATCAATCCCCAATTGATTTTCACTCATAACGTAGCCACATTTCATCAATCGAATCCACACACCTTTTGTTTTGCAAGATTTAACAGCTGCTGCCAAACAGTTCTCTCTTTTCATAAGAGAGTTCTTAAAAGAGTGAGCCTTTTTGAACATTTGTGAGTGGGTGTTATCATCTTTCATGGCCTTCTTTACAACAAATATGGAGTCATGGTCACAGAGGTATCGACTATGTTCGGGTTTGAATTTGTCAATAAATTCGAAAATGTAAAACAATAAATATTTTCCATCCAAGGTATTTAAATTTGAAAATTGGTCAGAAAACCATTCCAATCCCTCAGATCTCACTTCATCATGTCCAGCTCCCCAACCAAAATAAAAAGAAGTGAAGCTCATGTCACATGTTTTCACATTTGTGGCTATTGCAAACTCATTCACTGACAACATTTCTCCATTCTCATCAACCAATGCTTGTAAATTAAGGTGAGAACTATATCGTGAGGAAGCAAACACTGACACTTGTTTACCAGATCCATTGTCCAAAGTAATTAACTTCATGGATCCATGTCGTTCCAGACCTTGTGGGCAATTTGAAAGCACCAATTCCAAGTCATGGATATCCATAACTTGAAAAGATTGTTTCAATTTTCTTAACCACTCATATTCATTGGGATAAGTATGACATATAAATTCAGACCAATCAAACACATATTTCAACAAATTATTATTTTGTGTCGGATTCAACCATTCATTCAAACTCTGTTCATTTTCTTTAAAATAATAACTCAAAAAGCTTTCATCATGTGCCAATTCATACCATTGTTTGCAAACGAGAGAGTATCGGAACTGTACGAGAGGCAGCTAACACAAATCTATTGCATTTGAGAGCTTCCATCATCAATTCAGAATCTTTTTTCAATGCATCACTCGCAAAATATAATATATAATATAGTGCATATCCATTACTTCTGACTGCTTCTAACAAAATTTCCTTGTCATTGAGAAATGGTGAGTCATTGGATCCAACAACAGCAAGACCATTGAGTTTGGCAACACTTAACACAAATTCTCTATCTTCAACAATTTCTTTTGGAGCATATCTGAAAATATTCCAACATCCAAGTCTCAATAAGAATTCTTTGCCACGTAAAAGTTCTTTACAAGCGTATCTCAAAGCACCATTGTTTTGTTTGATCGCTTCAATCACAATTTCTTGATCTCTTTTCAGCATTTCATCAGCATATTGAAGAGCTAAACCTTCATTTCTAACTGCTGCCATTACCACCTCTCGATCATTTTTCAACTCTTTCGATGCATAATTAAGTGCAAATCCATTTTGATTCACAGCAATTAATACCAATTCTTTTTTCCCCTTCAACTCTGTCGAAACGAATTCCAATGCCAACCCATTTTGTTTGATTTCATGAAGTGCAATTTCTCTGTCATTCTTCAAATCATGAGTGGCAAATTCAAGCGAAACACCGTCACATTTCACAGCATTCAGAACAATGTCTCGATCACTTTTGAGTTTTCTTGATGCTAATCTCAAGAAACTTCCAATTTCTTGAACAACATACATCATGATTTCTTTGTTTGAACAATCTATAGAGACTAAATTATCTAATTCTGGATACAGGAATTTGATGGCTTTCAACATGAACTCTTTAAAAGTAAAATCCATGGTACCCATCGAAATGCTTTCTTGTTTTGATTGATAGCATCAAAAACGAATTTCGAAAAGAAAACCGACTGGAAAGAAATATTTATAATCCAATTCTTGATTCAATAACCACTTCTTCTTTCCTTCTTGTTGCAATGAAAATTTCTTTTTCATCAACAATTCCCATCTCCGAATCTCATCAACAATTCCATCATCACGATGAAAAAAAGAATTTGAAAAATCAAAGTCATTCGAACATTCCGCTTTGGCATCAGTTTTAATTTCTTCACCTCTCCGACAACATTTTCATTGATTTTGAGTGTTGGATGACTTGAATTGTAGTGTTTTCGTTTTCTCATTTTTTTGATGAGCGAGAGTTGACAAGGAGGAGGTTTTCCTTTCCTCGCTTGAATCATTCTATTAATCATGAAGACTTGGTGAAGACACGAGGTGAATCCACGTGTGCATGCAAAACAAACAAAGTATGAACTAATGCAGCTGAGATCTTGTATCGCATAATGTTGTTCAATCACTCCATCTTCCTCTTTGACTGGATTTATTTCAGGATAGAATTTGTTAACATTTGTAACATTATCACATCATGGTTTAGCATAAGAATTTATAACTGTAAAATATATTCAACAGTTTATAATGGCAACATAACTTCATTTACATCCTAAATAAGCACCAAAATAACATTGTTCCATCCTTTGTTGCAACAATTCATCACTATATTCCAACACATATCCATTGCATTTAAGAGCTTCCATCACCAATTCAGAATCTTTTTTCAATTCTTCACTCGCAAATCTCAATGCATATCCATTGTTCTTCACTGCTTCTAACATGATTTCCTTGTCTGAGGTAAAACATGATCCAAAAACAGCAAGACCATTGAGTTTGGCAGCTTTTAACACAAATTCTCTATCCTCAATAATATCTCTCGGTGCATATTTGAAAACTTCTTGACATCCTGCCTTAATCATTTCTAATAATAATGACTTATCACTAAAGAGTTCATAATCGTACTGGGTGAATGGTTTGGTGGTTGGATAGTCCCATAAATTTGGACGATGGTACAAAAAGCTTGCCATCTTGTCTAACAGCTGTCAATAAGACTTCTCTATCATAAATCAACTCTTCCGATGCATATCCAAGTGCACTTCCATTCTGTCGAACAGCAACCAAAACAATTTCTTTGTCTTTTTTCAAACTATTCGATGCATATTTTAATGCCTTTCCTTCCCGTTTCACAGCTTCCAATACGATTTACTTGTTGCATTTCAACTCGTCAGAGGCGTACTTTAATGCCAATGGATCTTTTTCAATCGCTGCATTCACAATCTCTTCATCATTTTTCAAATCTTCATGGGCATATTTAAGCGCAAGTCCATAACTTTTCACAGCATTCAAAAAAACATCACGATCCTTTTTGAGTTCGATTGATACATACAAAAAAATCCAAATTCTTTCACAACTTTCATGATGAACTCTTTGTTTGAATATTCGAAAGACTTTAAATATTCGAATTCTGGAAAGAGTACTTGAATGATCTGGACAGTGAAATCTCTACATATCCAAAAAACACCTGGCCTTAAAATCTCGAACAACCAATGAAACGCTTTCCTATTGTGTTTGAGTGTTTCAAACAAGAGCGATTGGAGTTTAGGCTTTTTTCAATTCCTCTAAAGTATTTCTTGAAAAACATCTCGTCATTTTCAAGTCTCTCCTTAAGATACTCGTCACCACACTTGTCACCACCGGAAATAATTTTCCATGCATGATTTAATTCCCCCACATCCACTTTAAATCCATCTTTGCTCAATTGGATCACTTGCATCAAGAAATCTCTGTCTTGTTTCAGCTTTGGTGATGCAAATTCCAATCCATAACCATACTTTTTGGTGTGATTCAGTACAAATTCCTTGTCATTCATGAATTCAATTGGAAAGAAATGTTTATATTTCAATTCTCGATTCAATAACCATTTCTTCTTTCCTTCTTGTTGCAATGAAAATTTCTTTTTCAACAACAATTCCCATCTCCGAATCTCATTTTGATCATCATCACCAACACGAAAAAAAGAATTTGAAAAATCAATCAAAACTATTCGAACATTCCTTGGCATTAGTTTCAATTTCTTCCCACCATTCTTCTGTTCATCGTTGAATCCGAGATTTGAATCGCAATTTAAAGGAAAGCAGTTCTTGCGTTTGCTCATTTTTTTGTTAATGGGTTTACGAACAAATTATATTCCTGAAACGCTTGTTGATAGAATCAACATTGAAGTAAGAAAAGCAATAAGAAAGAAAATTTTCATGCATAATGCTAGTCCAACAAACTATTTTCACCTCCCAATCACCTATGGTGGATTAGGTATTCCAAGATTCGACTTCTTTGCTGATGAAATTAGAATCGAAACAGCCCTTTATCTTATTAACAATGAGAACGAACTCCTTAGAGAAGTCTATTCAGAAGGAATTAAATATGAAAATTCGATTTTTAAGGAAATGAATAGATCAATGAAGAAATACAAGATCAAACCTCAACAATTTAACAATGATGAAAATCTTCCAAAATTCAAAGGAAAGAATTTTACTATTTACACTGACGGATCAAATCTAAACAATTCAACAGGTTTCGGCTTCACCGCCAAAGTCAACAATTCCCAAGAAACCCAAGAATTCTCGTAAAAAATTAACAGTGAATACTCACATAACGTCGCTGAATTGTCAGCTATACTCACATCACTAAAGATACTTCCACCTAAATCCAAGGCAAAAATTCACACAGATAGTGAAATATCCATCCACATCTTGAAAAACAAAGCCTATAATGGAATGTTTAACTGCTTTAAACATGAATATCATAAGGTCATTCAACAATCCAAACTGAATATTCAACTAATCAAAGTTAAAGGACACGTCAACGAAGGAAATATCAAAGCTGATGAATTAGCAAAGATAGGAGCTCAAGAGCACAACTATTTTGACATTAGGAATCTTTTTTCAAACCAAACCATCCTTACTACATCAAATACCATTATTTTCGACATCAAAAAATCCATACAAAAGAAACGTTACGAAGTAATGTTTAGCCAATTGAATAGAGATAATTCCAGTCTACACCTTACCAAGAACTGGTCATCTATCAATCTGAAATTCATCAAATCTAAAATTGACACAGAGACTAAATGGTCAATCTGGAGAAATCTGACAAGTAATTATATCAAACAACATAAGGAAAGACAATGCGCTCACTGCAAATGCCCCAGAACCCTAAAACATTTTATATATTATTGCCCTAACACTCAATGTTTTAGGGACTTTTTCTACACAAAATTCCTAGAAATTACATCAATAAGATGCATCCTCAACGATTATCAAGAATCAAGATACTGTGATAGAAGAAAAGTTTTCATCATCCACCATGACGGAGTAATGATTCGAGATACTCAAATACCCAACCTTAAAAATTTACCAAATATTTACCAAAATTGGCCTGAAATTCAAAAAATTCTCACCTTACTAGTTGGTAAATGTCACACCAAATACTATGAAAACTCAAGATTCAAAAAACCATTTCAAAAACAATCCCCAATCCTCACGGATTTACCAGCACCAATGGTGCTAACAATAAACTAATTGGATTTTTTTGTTAATGGTCGTTTATTGGCCTTTGGAAGATTTCCAAATTTGCTGTTGAAAACCAATCAACTTGACCAAAGTTCCAGTTCGGAGTTATCCTCCACAGTTGAACAAACGAATGAAAAAAAAATGTTATCGTTTAATCGAGGCTTTTCACTGTTAGTGAATGGCAAACCCGTGAATTTAGGGGGAGGAAGCGGAAGCGCGAACAGTCAGCCCTATGCTGGAAAGAGACCTTCATTCCGAAACATTTGCAATCCTCTCGGAAATGTTTATTTCATCATGGTATTGAGCATTGTGATTTGGATCATTATTCTCTCTCAAATCGTGTGTGAGTTCTTTGTTTATCCAGATGGAGATGTGTTTGTAAAAATCATGCCGAGAGCCTTTATATATCCCATCTTGTTGGTCTGTTTGATTTTCTACATTCCAACCGTATTTATGAGTCCGACGTATAGTTATTTGACGAACTTTAATGTGAATCAAAAGATTCAGGAAATTGTACAGAAAACGATTAGAGATACACCTATTATTGAGTTGCATGTTTCATGTTATCACTATGAAACGAGGTAAGTGGGAGATTATTTCATCTTTCGACATGTGAAATTGGTTACACTTTCGAATTGATCATTTGCATTTGTTCAATGATTGTAGAACTCAAACCACTACAGATGCGAATGGAAGACTCAAAACTGAATCAAGATCTGTACGAGTGACAACTCACACCGATTCTAAGCAAATGCCATTCGAATTTCACCGAGATTTTTCGCCTCCGTTTGCGTAAGTATGGTTGGAATGTTCTTAGTCATGACTCTTATCGTGTGTTGTCATCAATCAACTTACCTATACATTATTAATAGTATTAAACAAACAGCTAAAACATTTATTAAATTAGATATGGATCAAAAGGTTTTCGTGACCAATGAAGAATCCAAGAAGATTCTCGATGAAGAACGTGTAGCCATCTATGTTTCAAATAGAAATCGTGACACACACATGGATTATTCAGAATTTTGGGGTACTGGTATGTCAAGTTATTGAAATGATTTAACAAATTGATAATATCATGTACTGTTGTTTAATGATGATATGGATGTTTACCAATGTGATTTCATCCACAACTTTCTATTAATTTCACATGAATACTCTCTGACACACGAACACTCTACGACATCGAATTATACAAAATACCATCATTTTTTAAATTGACATGAAATTGAAGAAAACTTTGAGAGTTCCCTCCTCACACATAATCCCAACTCGAGAGTTCCAAAAATCGCCACTCCTTTCTGGTATCAATTTTTCTGTCTCTTCTTTCTCGGATGGGCCTACACATTCTGGTTCAATAACATTTGCGACACTCAAGAATATACATTCATTAAGGAACTGTCCTATCATCCCTTCAACGATGAACAAGTTGACAATAATGTCGATCCAAGCATGTACATGGGAGGTGCGTACGGATTTCAATTCAGAGGAGGATCTGGTGCTTTTGTCGAACCTTTAACATGAGTGACCAATTGAATGAATTTCCAACGAATATGTTTTCATCGCCTCCACCTGTGTTATCCTATCGACCCCAACAACCTCAGCAACAACCATTTGGTCAATCATCTTTTTCACCTTATTCTCAACAAACTTCGACAGCGCAACCTTACCATAATAATTATTACTACACCAATAACAACAACAACACCACGCCCAATCAAAATCTTTTCCTAACATCCAATCAAAGTAGAACCAGTTTAAACTTACCATCACACGTTGCCGATGTTTCGTTCCATCATGGTTATGATACTGAACCGCTCATGCAAACATATACACCTCACTCATCAGCAAGGGGTTATGTGCCACCTCAACTCTGAGCACAATGAATAATGTATTCACAATGAAATGTGATCTTCTACACAAATAAAGTGAAAGTCCTCTCCCGCCTCACAAACACGTTACATGACATGAGTTTCAGTGAGACAAGTGACATTCCGTTACAATTTAAATTTTCTTGCCCTCTCCGGGATTCTCTTCAGCAGAGACAAACTTTAAAAAAAACTTGTCCTTCCTTCCTTTGCATCCAACCGAATCATTCCTTGCATTTCGTTCGGTGTTCTCTTATTATTGATCCAATAAGAAGTATTCTTCTTCAAGCTCTCTGTCATACGATACAACTCCAAAAAGAGATCTCCTTCTTTGTATTTTAAAATTAAATTCATCATCCTCATCATCATCGAGAGAATCCCAGTTCCCAAACTCATCAGATGCCTTCCCAAAAGAATCATCATCATCAAGAGGAGAAGAAATCATCATCACCAACCATTTCCTTGCCAGCCTCCTTGTTATTGAATTCCTCACTTTCTTCTCGTGTGGTTGTTCCTCCTCCCTCGAGCTCAACTCTTATTTCAGGCATTGCTTTATCGAGTTCCAAAACACCATCCAATGCAAAGAATAACAAGCAACACCACACCACCACCACAACAACAACGAATTTATTGGGCTCTTCTTCCAAAAGTAGTAGTAGTAGTTCTACTCACTCAAATCAACCTCAATTCTATTCAACCACCACCACTCCCACAGCAACAACTCGGAAAATTCATCTCGTAACCTTGGAGGAGAAACAACGAGAGCAGCAACGAGAGTCCTGTTCTTTCTCTTCGGAAGCTGCAGGTTCAGCAGCCAAAGTTTCATTGACCACTCCTACTACTCCCACTACTGCTGCTAGCACTTCTTCCTCAATGAATGGAAAGAAAAAGAAAGCAGAGAAGAAGAAGAAGATAAATTCTTCTTCCCATACTGTGGTTCCAAATAGTTCGGAACCAACCAAACAGGATAGGCCAGTATCACCACCTCAAAAGTCTTCTCCTGTTCCCTCAATTTCCACTTGTCATCTCGACCACTCGCCCTCGTCCTCGACCAATACACATACACCTCAAAAAAGGAATAATTACACCACCTCATTATCTCCATCCAACAATCACAACACTGACCATCATGGTTCCACCAACAATAATAATACTCTCTCACCCATGATTGAGTTTGAAGAGGATGGAATTTCGGACGATCGAGCGAGCACTGTGGTTTTAACGAATAGTGCTCGTTCCCGACACAGCAATACCTTAACTCTCTCTCCGAGAAGTTCCTCCACTCTTAGCTCAGTTTCTTCTGATGATGGCACTTGCTTGGAGACACGACGACAAAAAACCATTTCGAATGGTCACTCGCATCAGATTTATGATGATGAAGATGGTCACGACGACCATTGTGACAATGATGACGATGAGTTGATGATGAATGGATCTTTCAAATCAAGCAAGACATTGAAAAAATCGAATCAACGTTTGAAGAAACGAGTTCAATCGCTAACTTTAGAACATGCTGAGACACTTCAGAGATTGACACTTTTACAAGAGGAATTGAATACCATGAAACAGTCTTATGAAAATGAGTTGAGCAAAACAAAACACATGTCACAAGTAATAATTGGAGATTTAAAAACAAGAAATGACAATTTGAAAGAAAAAGTCAAAAAACAGAAAGAGGAACTTGATAATCTCGAGAATACGGTCATTACTCCATTAAGAACTTCGTTCGAGAACAAAAAGTTGGAATTTGAAAATGTGATTGCCACTCTCAAGGATCAATTGCAAAATTTGCACACATCTGAAGAACAAAAATATCAGAAAATTCTCAGTGAGAAGGAGACAGACTTTGCAACAAAGATTGAGTTGTTAAAGAAGGAACATGCACACACTCTTCATCGAGAGAATCAATTAAGGAATGAATTGGAAACTATTGTGGCAAGAAGAACCGAAGAAATAGTCTCTCTCAAACTCGCCATTGAGTCCGTTCAACAATTATTGAATCAAACTAAGACCAATTACGAGGCTCAAATCCAAAAACTCTCGACTCAATTCAAGACAAGAGAAGAAGAATTATTACATCTTCTCAAGCTCAAAGAACAGGAAAATCAAAGACTACTACAGGAAAATGCATCACTTCGAGATCAATTGAAACACAAGCAAGTGATTCCTCAAATCTCTCACGCAAGAAGTAACACCGATGATCGTGACATTATGGTGAAGAAATTGGCAAACATCATGCCCAAACAACCAACAAGAAGTTCTTTGACATTTTCGTCTTGTCAACCAACCTCCATGGCAATGGCAAATTCACTTTTACAATTTTTGCAATGCAAACCATTTGTACAGTTGTAAATAAAAACTTCACACCTTGACTCTTGCTGAAACTATGAGTTAATTTGCAGTATTTAATTCAAATACGACGTAAAGACTTAGAGATCAACTTTTTGGAAGATGTTTCTTGTCACCAACATCTTTTGAGGTCCTGACAGAATGCTTTTTCCACACTCTCTCAATAATTTTATGTTTCCAAATAAGCATTATGATTCCATCGTTTGCTGCAACAATTCATCACTATACTCCAAAACGAATCCGTTGCATTTGAGAACTTCCATCACCAATTCAGAATCTTGTTTCAATGCAAATTGCATCACTCGCATACCTCAATACAAATCCATTACTCTTCACTGCCTCCAACATGATTTCTTTGTCTGAGTTAATATCTGACCCAATCAGTTTCATCACAATTTCTTCGTTGGAATAATCGAAAGAGACAAAACTCTCGTATTCTGGATAGAGCAATTTGATGATGTTTAACATGAAATTTTCATCTTGTAGTTTCTTCTTGTTGTTACTTCTAACGCTGTGCAAGTTCCAAAACCGCAAGTGTTTCTTTTCTCATACGTGGTTCTTTTGATGTCCATGAAAGACATCTCTTTTGGTGTTAAATTGTTGTGATTGTTGTTTAATTTAAAATTAATTATTATATTCCAAATATTTGGATTCCCATATTCAATACAAAGGTAGAATCAAAGAAAAAATGTTTCATCATGGAACAACGTACAACCTCTCCTCTATTGAAACCTTATGAACTGAGGAGAGACATCATGCAATCAAACAAAATAGAAAGTCGTTGGAATTCCTTCATGCATCGAGTCTGCACCACAATTAAAAGTACATGTTAAAAGTTGTTAATGTTAGAATTTGTCAGCGACGAGCTCAAGAATGATCGAGATACTGTTTTAAGTAACGTTAGCAATTATGATACTGCCCTTGAATTTGCTTCTCATGAGTTACAAAATGACTACGAAATTGCATTAGCAGCCATCAAGAACAATGGTTTGGCCTTGAAATCGGATTGACAAGTTGTTTTGGGAGCTGTTAAGCAAAACGCTCTGCTCTTCTGTATGCTCAAGAAACTCTGAAAAGAGATCAAGAAATTGTTTGTGCAGCTGCACATCAAACAACACTATTTTGCATTTGGTGCTGCTTCTAAAGAACTCTTTCATGACAGGCAATTTATATTAGATTTAATTAAGGCGGAATGTAGAAATGTTTTCAATTTTGTTGCAAAAGAACTTATTGAAGATAGAGAATTTGTGTTTAAGGTTGTCACACTTAATGGTCTTGCTGTTGGATCATAATGTTGGCAGCAGTGAAGAATAATGGCTTTTCATTGACTTTTGCGAGTCCAGAATTGAGAAAAGATCCTGAATTGGTGATGGAAGCTCTTAAATGCAACGGATTTGTGTTAGAGTATAGTGATGAATTATTGCATGAAAGAAAGGAACATTTTTATGTTGGTGATTATTGAGGACCTAATTCATCATTAAGAAATACCCCTTAAATGAAGTGATGACTCACATCAACCAAAATTGACAACCAATGTATTAGAATATAAATGCTTTCGTACAAAGTATGAACATGATATAAATGAACCAACACCTCGCACTATGAAACAACATTGTTTGGTATTGGAAATGATCGCAAAAAACAGAATGGTATCTCTACATTTTATACACCAAATAGTACACAATAAGGAAATCATTACTTTGTTTGTAAAAATACAATTGTGAATTCGTTTAAGGTATTCCTAAATAAGCACCAAAATAACATTGTTCCATCGTTTGCTGCAACAATTCATCACTATATTCCAACACAAATCCGTTGCATTTGAGAGCTTCCATCACCAATTCAGCATCTTGTTGCAATTCTTCACTCGCATAATATAATGCATATCCGTTACTCTTCACTGCCTCCAACATGATTTCCCTGTCTGAGGTAAAACATGATCCAGAAACAGAAGGACCATTGAGTTTGATGGCTCTTAATACAAATTCTCTGTCTTCAATAATTTCTGTTAGAACATATCTGAAAACATCTCTACATCCAAGCTTGATCAGTTTCAATAAAAATTCTTTGTCACACAAAAGTTCCTCAGAAGCAAATTCAAAAGATTCCTTGTTTTGATTGATTGCTTCAAATACAATTTCCTGATCTCTTTTCAGCATTTCATCAGCAAATTCAAGAGCATCACCATTTTGTCTAACAGCTGCCAATACAACTTCTCAATCATTTTTCAACTCATCAGATGCATGATAAAGTGCATATCCATTTTGATTCACAGCAGTCAATACAATATCCTTTGTTCCCTTTAACTGTGTTGAAACATATTCTAAGGCTGAACCATTTTGTTTGACTGCTTGCTGTGCTACTTCTCTATCATTCTGCAAATTATGAGAAGCATATTGAAGAGAAAACACCATCGCTTTTCACAGCATTCAAAACAATGTCTCGATCATTCTTGAGTTCATTACTTGCAAATCTCAACAAAAATCCAATTTCCTGAACAACTTTCATCATAATCTCTTTGTTTGCATGATCAATGGAGATTAAATTATCGAATTCTGGAAAGAGTAATTTGATGGCTTTCAACATGAATTCTTTATCTCGGTGTAAATCCCATGAAACCCATTGTAGTGCCTTCCTGTTTTGCTTAATTGCTTCAAATATGAACTCCAGATCTTTCTTCAGTTCATGGAAAGAATATAGTAAACATTTGTCATTCAATTTAATGGCTTCTAACACAAATTTCTTGTCATTTCTAACTTCTTCTGAAGCATACATCAATGCATCTTCATTGTTTTTAATAGCTGCCAATACCACTTCTTTATCACTGAGAATATTGTTGCTAGCATAGAGTAACTCAATACCATTCAATTGAACCACTTGCAACACAAACTCTCGATCTTCTTGTAATTGTTTTGAAGCATACTCCAATCGAAAAGCCTTCTTTTTGATTTGATTTAAAACAAATGCCTTGTCATTCATAAATTCGATTGGAAAGAAATGTTCATATTTCAATTCTCGATTCAATAACCACTTCGTCTTTCCTTCTTGTTGCAATGAAAATTTCTTTTTCAATAATTCCAATTTTCGAATTTTGTCCACACGTTCGCCATGATCATTCAAACAAGCATTTGAAAAATCCATCAAGATTACTCTCACATTATTCATCATCATCATTACTGGAATCGATGACCGATGATGTATCAATGTATCGGATACAGTGTCATTAGAATTGCCAAAAAAGATTTGCTTTCTATTCTAATGCTCTTTTCATCCTCTTGGTTCAAAGTTTTTTCATCCTTTCCGTTTTTATTTTCTACGGTGGTGATGAAATTGTTCATTTCGGATGAATGATCGTCTTCATGATGACGATGGTGCAACATTTTTTTTTCAGTTATATTTACAGTGAATATATCTCTCAATGAATAACGATCGAAAGATCATCAACAAATTTCATTAAGGCGTAAAGCCGATGCTTGCCCCATGCACCGCGTAGCCTTTGACACTCTAGAGCTTTATTAAGCTGCTGTTTGCACCAAGCGAAAAACAACTGATCGCCTTTTGGAGTTTAAACTTTATATTCAGCCCACTTCGTTTTTAAATATAGTGACGAATTGTTATCACAAAGGATGGAAAACCTTAAAACGAATTCAGATAAAATTAGAGATTAGAGAGTTTTCATATCCCTCCATTGTAACGTATCTTGATTGTAACGTATGTTGAAACACTGAAAAGATAAGACTGGAGCTTTTCTCATGTGATCAAGCTTGGAGAGACTCATCAAATCAACTATGTGAATGAAATTTCTTGATTTTTAATGAGTTTTATTGATTTTTTGCCAGACCTTTGAAGGATGATGATTTAGGTCAAAATTTAGTTGAATGTGGTAGGATGCAAGTTGGAGGTGTGCATGTGTGATTATCTCTTAGTAGAAAAATTCGGTATTAGATGGATGATTATTTGGAAGAAGTGTGTGAATGGAATTAAACTGTAGTGGTGGTGGTTTGAGTTGGTGTGGATGGAGAGACGGCCTTTTGCTCTTGTTTGGTGTTTCCGTCCTTCTTCTTCTCCCTCTTTTCCTTCTTTTCTTTGAAATCATTGTGATCAATGCTGAACAATGGAGATGATGACGAGCCTTCACCATACAAATTATAATGTTCCTGGTTGTCATCTTGGACGTAGGTGAGAATATATGCTTGCTGATCCAAGACATGTTGCAAGCTTACAACAGTTATCTTGGTGTCATCGATATGAATCCATTTACCACATCCATGTTGAATAAAGGTGCTGTAGTGACCACCTGATGCTTCCTTTCCGTGATGGCAAATCACACTAGCGAGTCTATATCTCAAGAATGATTTCCCAGCAATTTGCTTGATGTTAGGAACAACCTTGTCATCAATAATTAGCTCATAATCAAATCGAATACGCTTGGAAATCTTTTGGATGCCTTCAGTTGTAGAGAAATCGAATCTTCTCAAGTGCAAGATGAGAACTTTTGGAAGTTGATAAATTGTGGACTTGGCATTCTTATCCAAAACGTTCTCTTCCTTGGTCATTTCTCTTAAGGCGAACTTAATGCCCTTAATGTTGTCATCCTTGATTGGCAAATGCAAACTAAAGAATGGCTCGACAACAGCACTTCCTTTCTCACCTTGTTTTTGAACAAAGCTTTTCATCTTTCCACAGAAAATACGGGAGATGGCGCTGTTATCACCCATTTCATGTTCACGAATGACGTTGGACTTGTTCTTTTTTCCAACTTCTTGCCATTTGTCTTCAACGTTTGTTGCCAAGTCAGTGGCGGTGGCAACTTCAGAAGACTCTTCTTGTTGATCCTTCTTGTTCTTCTTGGTTGAAGATGGACTCTTTCTGCCCAATGTTTTCTCAGTTTTCTTGAGTTCCTCATGAAGTCTTTCCAACAAATAAGTCAAAAATTCATGAGCATCATGTTGAGTACCCAAGAGGAAGGAGTCTTCCAAGTTTGTGGAAGATTGTTGAACATAGTCCACAATATAGGAAGGAGTTAACTTTTCATAAGAAGCATTAATAAAGTATTTTCTTTCTTTTTGTTCTCCATTTTGAGAACGAGCACCTTTCATGACTTGGAATTCATTGACCAAACGTGCCATCTTATTTGTGAGCGGATATTCATCATTGTCAAGTGAAAGCTTTCCAAGTCTCTTCATTAAATGATAAAAGTGAGGAAGGCTGACCAAGCTTTGCAAAACTGCATTCATATAACAAGAATTGTTAATGTTGGTCATACCTCTTGGTTGAATAAAGACACCAACTTCATCCAACAAATGTTGGTCAACTTCAACCTCTGTGGATCTGAGAATATTCTTTCCAGACTCGAAATCCTTCTGTGGTTTGGAACTTATTTGCTTGGTACCATTGATGTCGGAAGAGGATGGTTTCTTAGTAGCAACCACATTCTTCTTATCTTGTTTCTTCTTGTTGTTGGTTGAATTATCAGCAGCTCCGCTAGAACTGGTGGCATCTTGAGATGCGACATTGGCCGTTGGTTTCAAAAGGGAAGCCCAATCACTGAGGGCAGCACTAGTAGTAGAAGCCTCAGCAGCAGGTGAAGCGAAAACTTTCACTTGTGCAGGCTGAATGACAGTTTCTGTTGTTGTTGGCTTTTCTTCCTTCTTGACTACTTCCTTATTGTTGCTGCTAGAGTTGTTGTTGTTATTCTTCTTCTTTTCTCCATTTTCGAAATTCTTCTTTGGCTTTCTCTGGAATTGTCTTCTTCCTCCGGTTTTTCTTTCCACTGTTTGGAAATCAGGGTCTTCAGAAGAGGATGGTTGAACTTTAGTTCCGTTACTTGAGGTGTTGTGTTGTTGTTGTTCATAATTCTTTTTGAAAGCCTTCTTTTTGTGCTGTTGTTGTTGTGATTGAGTGGCTGGCTTTTTCTTGGGCTTTTCTTGTTGTTGTGATGGTTGTTGTTGTTGAGGGATTGCAGAAGAGGCGGAAGCTTCTTGTTGTTGTGCTAGCTTCTCTTTTCGTTCGGCAGCCTTTCTTTCCTTTTCGGCTTGCTTTTCTTGCTCGAGTTGAAGTTTACGTTGTTCCCAAAAGTTGTCGGTCATGATGATAGCTGTGCTATTAGATGTTGGATGATAAACGGGATGTTGTTCTTTTCGAAGAGTGTGTGTTAAATAATTGTTGTTGTTGGATGATATCTTTGAGGCGGAAAATAACTTATTCAGCAAAAAAAGTTCTCATAGAGACAGGAATGAACGATACGGGTATCTAGAGGGAATTGCAATGAGAGCTCTTCTTGAGGATAACAACAACCTGAAGGCTGCACCTTTGGCGATGAAGAAATTCGAGGAATGAGAGTGCTTGAGCGCACGGAATTGAGAATTTTTTTTTGCTGTGTTTTTTTAAAATTATTTTACAACACACTTCGTTCCGATCAGGTGGTGATGGTACAACCAACAATTTGAAACCAGCACTTTTTGGTTGAAGGATTCAACTCGCGCACACTTAAGGATAATAGGTTGTTAATCATTGAGATATCTCACTGTTATTTCATAGATTTCCCCTTCTGTTACTACTATTCTCTTTAATTTACACGTTGGTTGTCTTTTGTTGTCTTGGTTCAAAATCCAAGGACAACTTGTACAATTTTTCATCGTCAATATTCGAAATGGCTTTCAATCGTTCCTGCAATTCGGGAACACTCTGTAGAGAGTACGGGGTTTGTTGATAGGTCTGAATGTCTCGAATCAGCATGGCCAATTTCCTTCTCTTAATAAAATTAATCTTGTCATTGAGAATATTTGGATTTCCATCTTCAATGAAGGTTAAATCTGTCAATGTAACTCCAATATATGGAATGCAAGGTGGTTTGACATAGAGTATTGCGTGACGAATGGCTCTGAAATTGTTATCACCACTGATGAGTGCGAGTAGCTCATCATGATCTCTTTTCGCTTCGCTCTTCAAGAGTTCCCATGTCTTTTTGAGACGATGCACAGCAGAATTTTGTAAACCACTCACAAATTCGAATACGGCATTGAAATTATTCAATTTTCGACACTCTTCAGCAATTTGTATCATTTTTGTCATGACCGCTTTTCGATCCTTAATGTTGGGTTCGCTCAATATTCGACTTGCAACCCATTTTGAAACTCGATTGAACCATGTAATCATTTGATAAATGTTAAATGCTTTTTGTTCTCTTGATTCCTTATTCCATGATTGATTGAGACATTCCTTTGGCTTAATTGCCTTAAACATGTTGTATTCAATGAGAGTGATTTGTCGTGCAATTTCAGCACTGGGCCAATCTAAAATGTCAAACTTGGACAGGTCATCCTTTCCAGGTCGATACTTTTTCGGATATTTTACCACAGTTTCAATCTTGACAAATACTTCTACATTGCTATTGTTGAGTGATTGTTGTCTCTTGATAGAATTCAATAATTGAGTGGCAAAGTGTTTGCCCTGAGTATTCTCCATGATGAGACTCAACTTTTTCACTTTTTCTAACAACTCGGAATCATTCTCAAAATCATGATAATGATTTTCAATCCAAAATTTGATGACTTGTGTCACTCGTAGACGAACTTGTTGCAATACTTCTTCTTGCCACTTGGTAAATTCAGATTTTGTAATAGTCTTGGCATTTGGTGGAGGTAAATTGTATCGTGCAATCAATTTGTCCATCAATTCGTGAGGTGTTGTAAAAGATCGATAGGTCAATAAAAATGCATACAAGTAGGCATTGTCGTAATTCTTGTGATAGGTCACTCTTTCAATGAGTTTGTCAAGTGTGGCACATTTAATTTCCATGGCTTGATCAGATTCTTCATCTGTGGAATCCATCCATTCGATATTTTCTGGTGAATCCTCAACAACATCATAGAGCGTCTCTGTGAAATCATGATCATAGTAATTCTTTGGATCTTTTTCTTTGATAGCCTCCTCAGCAGGTTGAGGTGCAATCACTGTTGATGCCAACGCAGAGGTAGGTCTTGAAAATTGAGCTTGAAATTTCACAAAATTGAAAATGAAAAATTGGAAATCAATATCCAAGTGATGTTTCAAAATTTTTGCTTCTTCCTCTGTGGTGACAATGAATCGAATGTCTAACAAGGTACTTGAAAGACGATTTTCAATACAGTGCTCAAAAGTGGATCTGAAAAAACATCTTGCTGCCGCTAGCCATTGACTCTTTGCGAGTCCATATTGAGGAATGACTTCTGAAGTTTTGGGTGTTCGATAGAGGAATGGTGCAAAAGCAATGGAGTGACATTCCAAGGTGTCAATGCATTCGAGAGCGTTGTGAACGGCATTACTAAGAGAGTTGTAGAATTTGGTTTTGGTCAATTCATTTGAGTCTAAATTCACACCGTCCAATTCATCGCTCGATTTGCTGGAACTCACTTGAGAAGTAGCACTTCCAGTATTGATATGAATCAAATGGAAAGATGAGTTTGATAAATTGGAAAATGATCCACTCAAAGATTGAGGTTTCACAAAAGTACTGCAGAATACTTCTCCTTCGTTCAATTCTTTTCCTTGTTTTTCATTTTGAATATATTCTCTACATTGATGTAAGATGTCTTTTGAAAATCTTTCAACAGCCATTTTGGCAGCAGCATTTCGATCTCCTTCACACGAGAGACGAGAATCATTTCCTACCACAAAACCTTGAACTGGTTCTGCAAACATGTCATCAATTTGAATGACAGATACTTTAGCTCCTTTTGTGACACGTTTTCCTCCTGAAGTTGTTTGTTGAGATTTGCTGAAAATTGGATTCACAGGATATTCAATAATTAAGGTTCCATTGGTGGTTTTAACTTTTTCCTTTATGGCTTTGTTTTCAACAGCAATTTGCATTGTTTGTGATGTGCCCAATGATGAAGATGACGACGAATTGGAAACAACAGGAGCAACTGATTCAGTCAAAAGTAATAGATTGCTACTACTTGTGTTAGTTGTGGATAATTTCTTTTCTGCAAAAGAATTTGAAGGTTGTATTGGTTTTCTAAACACAGAGGGTAATCTTGTCTTTCTGTTTTTTGCTTGAACAATAAGGTTGTCCATATCACCTAAATGATCATGAGATGAAGAGGATGATGAAAGATCATCTGATTGAACTTTGAAGCTTGAATTTGATGATGAAAGAGTGGTGCTAGAACTTGTGTCATCATCTTCAGAGTCGGTCTCTTCGCTTGAAGGATATGCAGCCAAAGATTCCTCTTCATGTTTTTTCTGTTGCGATGAAAATGATGAAAAAAATGATGACAAGTATATCATGGAATATGTGTGTGACAAAACGAGGTCAACAAGTAAGATCATTATGATTCGTTATCAACAATCAGTGATGCAGGCATCGATGATAGCCATTTTTGAAATAATTACAATAAAAAAGAATAAAAAGTTCAGGGGTTGCAAAATTTTCAAACGACACTTACCTTATCGATATGTATGGAAGATTGTGAACCAAAACTCGACTTGGAACCGTTGGTACTATTATCCCGCTGCTTGATATGCATGGCTTGAATGGATTCTGAAACTTTTTCAAATTTAGAAATCAAAGTATCAACTTTCTTTTCTTGTTCGGAATTGGTTTTCACACTGTTCGAAGCTTGTCGTTTCAGCAATTGCTGTAATTCTTGATTTTCTTTTTCCAACAATGAGTTCTGATAAGCCAATCGTTGTTTTTCTTTTGTCACCATAAACAGCTGTACTTGTAAAATGTTAATTTTTTCTACCAACTGTTTGACTGACATTTGATCGAGAGGTGGCGGCGACGATGAAGAATTCATTTCGTTCGAAATTATAACACTTGTTGATGTTGTTGGTGTGGAGGGAGACGTGTTGTTGATGTTATTGTGGAGAGAGGTTGTTGTCGCGATGGGTGATGATCCGAGGTTTGGAGAGCTGCTGGATGATGTTGTTTTATTGTTGCCTCCTCCAGTCAGGTTTTTCCAGCCAGATTTTAGGGTGGAAGTGAGTGAAGAGCTGCTGGAAGAAGACATTTTTTTGATGTGTGGAGTTTTTTTGTGACGTTTGGCATGTGACATGGGTGTGAAAAACCGGGTGAACATTTAAACATTAATAGACCAAAAATGGAAGAAATGTTTTTGGTGTGATGTATTACGACCGAAACCATGCTCAAGAAACAAAACAAGAATCAATTTTTCCAAACACACATACAAGTGTAACTCCTAAGGAAACCTTTTCTTCTTTCTTGACATTTTAATTCTTTCCATAATATCCGTCTCTTGTCACCTCTTTTCGGGTCGACTCCAAACCTCATCAGAGCAACAACAAAAAAAATGTTCAAATCCTCTCATCCAACATTCAAATTGTCAATTTTATGTCTTGCAGCAGTTTTGGCTCTTCTTGCTGTCAGTTTCCTTTCGATTCATACTTCTTCGGTACATGCCGAACAAGACGAAGAAATCATCAATCGAGAAACCTCTCTTACAAAAACATCACCCAACAATGGAACACAAGTCGGATCATTGAGTAGTGTTGTCAGTGAACAAATTCTCGATGAAGACGATGATGATATGGAAGATTATGACATGGATGATTTTGCTATTCTCGGAAATGAATGGTTGTTGAAGGAAATTAAAGACGTTGATGATCAAATGAAATCGGAAGAGGAAGACACTGGATCGGAAACGTCTGTCTCGTGGGAGAATCCTGCTAGAGCTCAATCAGCTGCAACACCAACAACAACTGCATAAGTCACGAGGGCAATTCATTCACAATCATCACGACAACACATGTGTTGCAAATGGAATGTGGATTTAAATGTGGTTGGCAACAGTGGTAAACACCATGCTTGAGTAATAAATTAATTTGTAATTATAATTGATGAAAAAGATGTTACATTGTTTTGACAAGAAGAAGATTGCTGAGAACTATCGTCTAAATAGACATGTGTGTAACTATTCCTCAATGGATACGTGTTTTCGTTTTTCGAATATTTGTGGATTTGAGAGACGACCACACTGACAAATCCTAATTAAAATTCGACTAATGCCATTACAAAATATATTCAAAAGTCATCTCTCGCTTCAATCTTGTATATCCATAATAGCGCCATTTGATAAAATCAACTCCAATTTCAGTTTTCTCACCAGATATTTCATTATTCAACACTTTTCGATATTCACTTTCAACGTTCTTAAATGTCAGGCTATATGAAGTAATATTGCAATCACCACTAACGTAGTAAGGATTTCTCCTCTTTCTCCTATATTTAGAATTGAAGTGTCTCCAATAAATAGGTTTTTTTCTATTGTCAAGTCGATACCATTGCCACTTGGAATAACTTTTGTTGTAAGGATTATTGATCCAAATGACAGGAATTTCTCGAATAAAGTTAGGTAAATAGTTTTTCTGATCAAAACGCTTGGTAAGCAATTCATGATAAGGAAGATAGGCCTATGAGAGAATTGAGCGTAACAAATGATATATATTGTAATATCCAAGTGTTTCCCGAATATGTAAAAAATATTGTCACAAAACAGTTTCAAAATAATGTGTACTTACATCTTCGTAAAAGTTTCTCGAATGAGGATGGAATGATCCAATCATATCTTGTCTTCCTGGATTTTCAGTAATAAAGCTAAATCTTATTTTTGTGTCTGACAAGTTCGAATTCAAATCGTTCAAATTATAAACAATATTAAATTCCAATTTAGAATTTTCATTGCCAAATAGTCTCACATGTTCTGCTTGCCGCTCATCCATTGCTTTCTCGAATTTCTGAAAATATTGGAACTGTTGAGATGGCGGTCTTTGTTTTTGTTCAATAAAAACAAAACCAGAGTAATCAGATTCATTCAACCAGCAATCCTTATGATACTCTTTACCAATTCCAATACGTGTATCGATACAGCTATTGAAGCGCTTTTCAGCATACATGGTAATGGCTGTATTGATGCTATGGCGAAGTCGAATTTCATTCAATAAAAGTAGAGCTAATCCACGACAATTATTGACAGTTGGTTGTGGAATTCGTTTGATTCTGTTGGTGATAGTTTCTTGAATTGGATGCATGAGACCTTCACGTCTATGTGTTGTGAATGGTGCACCATTAAAACGATTTTGTGAATATTAATGTATTAGTGACAGTTTTGGCAGTCACAAATATTAAATTTGAAAACCTTAAGAATTACTTACCTTATAAAGGCCTTATTATGTCCTGGAACAAGTATTTTGTATCCTCTCGAGATATAGTATTTGAATAACCTCTTTTCATAGGTGTACGACTGTCGATCAATGTCTACCATGTTAAAACCTTGTGTGATGGCACGCTTTCCTCTAGGACTGGTGTACACTTCCTTTCCATCGAACGCAAAACAACTACTGTCCAAGTCAAATCCTACCAATACTTCAGCAATGTTTGAGTAAAGTCTTAATACAATTTGGACATCTCTTTTGCTTGTTTTGAACGTAATGGCATGGCTTGATCGACAAATAAAGACATCTTCACTCGACACATTTCTTTTAACTGTTTCGAAGATGTGTCTTATTTTCTCAATGGCATCCTTCTCATCTAACCCATAGATAAATAGATCAATATCAGAGTAATGATTGTCCCATTTGTGTCTTCTACTATGGTAATGAATTGATGCTGCTTGTTCAGGCTTATCAATGAATGAACTAATATTGTTTCTTAACTGTTGAGGTGTTCTACGCACTGATCTGCAAGAAATATCTCTAATGGTTGGCATCTTATTAATTATTGTTGAGACACTACCACCTGCCATGATGACATTGGACCAATCCAAGCCATCCAGCATACCCTCTGTGAAATGATGGTAATTAAATAAAAACTCTTCTATGGATGAAACCACATGAGGTTCACAAATTGGACCATGCAGTGTATTACTAGGTATATCTTGAAACAAAAGAGAGTCTCCAGATAGATGTGGAGACAATGAACATGGCTTGAAATGTGGGAGCATACTCAGCATGGGAATTAACAAAGCACTGCTTGCTCGTTCCAGTTGAGGAGAGTCTCTATGCGAAACAAACGCTCTTCTCAAAATATCCTCTTGAGTTTTGATTTTCCAGTTTTCCTCCCCAATGATTGGTCTCAAATTAGGAAAAGAGCATCTATTCACATAAGACTGAAATTCTTCAAAATTGTAGTATTGGCAGGATAGGGTTGTAATAGCTCTGTTCGAGTCAAGCCAAGCAAAATCCTCTCTGCTCAGCTCCTTTCCATTTTTCATGTATTTTAACATGAGAGATACTTCCTTACCACCACCCAGTAAGATAATTATTTGAGAATGATCATGTTGAGTCTCAGAGGTAGCTTGGTCTTGCGATGATGTCTTTGTGAGATGTGAAAGTGCCAACTCAAAAAACAATGTCTCTTTAAAATCCAGTAATTCCTCAATGATGAATTTGCATGAACTCAAATGAGTCGTAAAAACAACTTGCGAATTAATAATTTTGGAGTAGGCTTCTCGTAATAAGTGTGTAGAGTTGTCTTGTGGCAAGTTAACCTTTAAAGAGGAGAAGTCATTATTTTCGGCCACATTATTGGCAACTGAATCATTTCTTGTCACCATCTCCAAATGATGTTTTTCATTTTCTTGCAACATATCTTTCAAAGGCTCACAAAGCGTCAATCTTTCTTGAGCTACTAATAAATCGAACGGATTCAGCTTGAAGTCAATTATAATTTGATTAATGCAATTCACAAGAAATGTCAAAGAAAAGAACATGCACTCTTCTCTCAACTGCATTAGCTCATTAATATTCTTTTTTGACAAATACTTCTTGAGAGTGTCGATTCCTTGATGTGAAATTCTCATACATTGCGTCATGTTTTGAAATCGAATAGGGTCACGATCTAGCAAGATATTTCCATTCAAATCAACTTCAATAGGAAGTCCCTTCTCGGATGATGTTGTTGATTGTTGGTTGTTCGCTTGTTTGTGATGATTGAACAAGAGAGAAAATAAATTTGTGGTGGATGGTGATGATTCTTCCGTTGAGCCAATGCTATCTCTTTCAACATGATCCGTGAGCTTCCACAAGTTTTCTTCAATCACAAAAATCATTCCTCGAACATTTAATTTGAGAAGGTTCTTTTCTTTCTTCATGAGTTTATCGTCGACCATTTTGTTACCATTGTTGTTGATCGTACATTCTTCTTGCTGGATTGAATTTTCATTGGAAGTGGAGGAATCTTCTTGTTGTTCAAGTATTTTCAGTTGTGCAAGAAGGAACTCTAAATCCCGTTGATTATGGAGGATTTGATGAAAAGAGGAAGGCGGAGATGATGAAGATTGCAAGTCAAACATTTTTTTCCAGTTTTTGCTGCCACTGTCTTGCAAAGGATTTTACAAAACGAAAACAAAGCATTGATGAGAGCTTAATTAGATTTTCGTATCTAATTAATTCAATCTTTCACAATAATTTGACAATGAATATGACCAACAACATGCACATGTTAGAATGAAATGTGCAATAGTATAAAAAATTGGCTCAATTTGTCGATAATCATTCCGTTCGGAAATTGATAAAGTGAATTGGTTCTTGACAATCCTTGTTGGGATTCAAACAACAACAACATCTTTACCAATTCTATTCGAATATTTAGAAATTAATCACATTTCTTTCACACTATTTCAATATCGGAAAATCTCAAGTTTGTCATCGTTATTATCATGAAAAAGTATCTTCTCAATGCTAGAAAGCCCAATAATGTTTATTATTATTGTTGTTGGAACTCTGGTAAATCATCATCATCCATACGAGTTTTGATTAAATTGCATCAACACAATGAACGTAGCCATGATTCCAGTTTGATTCAACACCATCAATCAAGAACCACACCATTTTCGAGTCGCTGCTTCCATCATCAAATTCCAACATGCACATCGTTTGATGAAAGAGCCATCCCTTCAAATACACTCATCCAGTGGGATCCCGATAATAATATCCACCAATCAAAGAAGCACTCGCTGTTGAACCAACACTCCTTCATCCCTTCATCTTTGGCTTTTGTACGAGCACACGGCCTTCAATCATCACCCAAAAAAAAATCGCCATATTTTCCGAGAGAGCCTTGCTTGATTTCAAAACGGGACTTTTCTCGCCTAATAATCACCTCATCTCCTTTTATTGATCAAGACAACAACAAAAAGAAGAACAAGTGGACCCCGCCCATGTCAAATACACACTATATTAATCCTGCCACTGGAAAGGAGTGGACTTCAAAGGAAATTCGTAAGAAATTTGTTGAATTCTTTGAGAAGAAATATGAGCATACTTTTGTGCCAAGTAATTCAGTAATTCCTCATGAAGATCCTACATTGCTCTTTACCAATGCTGGGTAAGTGTTCATGATTTGTTTTGAACCTATGTCTCTCTTTAATGTTGAAACGATGATAATGATAACAATAATATTGACTAATCATCCGTTGTCTGATGCGATACCATCATGATGACTGAAACATCATCATCTGATGACCCATTATGCTACTCTCGTCTCTCAATTCTCTTTAATGATGATGATCTTGGTCTTTCTGTATTGCACCCTGTCTTTTTGAATTGCTTTCATCTCGCTACTTTATTTCTTCTTTCATTCTTTGACACGAATAATACAATATACAACAATGATATGTACATACCTCACCAATGAACGAAATGAATCATGATGGTCCTTCCTTATCAAATATGGCTTTTACCTCTACACAAAATTGCCCACATCATCAATTAACACTACAACAACAACAACAATGAATATAGTATGAACCAATTCAAGGCAATCTTTCTCGGACAAGTCAATCCAGAATCCAGTTTGGCTAAATTGAAGCGTGCCGTAAACTCACAAAAATGTATTCGTGCTGGTGGTAAACATAATGACCTTGATGATGTCGGTAAAGACACCTATCACCATACATTCTTTGAAATGCTTGGTAACTGGTCATTTGGTGATTATTTCAAGAAGGAAGCTATTGCTTGGGCTTGGGAATTACTCACTGACGTATACGGACTTGAAAAGGATAGATTATATGTGACATACTTTGGAGGAAATGACAAACTTGGCTTGCAACCTGACACTGAAGCCAAAGAGTTGTGGAAACAATTCGTTCCTGAGAGTCATATTTTACCTGGTAGTATGAAGGATAACTTTTGGGAAATGGGTGATACTGGACCATGTGGACCTTGCAGTGAAATTCACTATGATCGTATTGGTGGACGTGATGCTGCTCATCTTGTCAATATGGATGATCCAAATGTGATAGAAATTTGGAATAACGTCTTTATGGAATTTAATAGAAAGCCAGATCAATCTTTAGAATATTTACCAGCTAAACATGTCGATACTGGTATGGGACTTGAAAGATTAGTGTCCATCTTACAAAATAAGATGAGTAACTACGATACAGATGTTTTTATGCCAATTTTTGATGCTATTCAAAAAGAAACTGGAGCAAGATCTTATACTGGAAAGTTAGGCAAGGAAGATGTTGACCATATTGACACTGCATACCGTGTGATTGCAGATCACATTCGTACTTTGGTCATTGCTTTATCTGACGGTGGCTATCCTGACAGTACAGGAAGAGGTTACGTTCTTCGTCGTATTGTTCGTCGTGCTGTGAGATTTGGAGAATTTTTGAATGCCAAGAAAGGTTTCCTTTCTCGATTAGCTCATGTTGTTGTTGAAAATATGGGCGACTTCTTCCCTGAATTACGTAAGAATCCAGGAAAAGTCGAACAATTAATTCAAACTGAAGAAGATTCCTTTGCAAAGACTCTTCGTGTTGGATTAAAATTCTTTGAGAAGATTACTGAAAAGATGAAGCAAGAAGGAAAGAACGTTGTATCTGGTACAGATGCTTTCAAATTGTATGCTACCTATGGTTTCCCTGTTGACTTGACATTAATTATGGCTCAAGAACAAAACATGACTGTCGATATGATGGGCTATAATGAAGAAATGGAAAAACACAGATTACTCTCTGAAGGTGCCAAACAGGAAGCCAATGAACTGAAGCTTGGTGTTGTTGAAACTGCCAAGTTACAAAATGAACTCAAAGTCGAGCCAACACAAGATGAATTGAAATATGTTTGGGAAAATATTACTGCAAAAATTGTTGCTATTTACAGCAAGGATTCTGGATTTATCAACAAGCTAGATTCTGAATGTGACGAAGTCAATGTTGGTATTGTTTTGGATAGAACAAACTTTTATGCTGAGGGAGGTGGTCAAGCTGCTGACATTGGTTCATTGGTTTTGGGAGACTCAATTTTGAACGTTGCTGACGTCCAAAAATTCGCTGGCTTCATTTTGCATATTGCCAATGTTTCAGAATCCAAACTGTCGAACAATATTACTGTAGGTGCTGAAGTTTCTTGCCAGGTCGATTTTGAAAGAAGAAAGCCAATTGCTGCAAATCACACAACTACCCACATGCTCAATTTTGCTTTGAGAAAAGTTTTTGGAAAAGATTGTGACCAACAAGGATCTGTGGTCAAACCAGAAGAGTTGACCTTTGACTACTCTTATTCTCATCCAAAAGCTCCAACAGATGAACAGTACAAACAAATTGAAACAATTGTGAACACTCTCATTTCTGAAAACCATCCAGTTTATTCAAAGGTTCATCACCGTGATACTGCCTATGAAATTTCTGGACTCAGAGCCATGTTTGGAGCAGCTTATGGAGAACAAGTTCGTGTAGTTTCTATTGGTGAGGATGTTGATGAAATTATTAAGGATAGAACTAATGAAAAATGGCACACTATTTCTGTTGAATTCTGTGGTGGTACCCACTTGACTCAGACAAGCCAAGCTCAAGAATTTGTGATTGTTGCTGATAAAAGTATTGCTGCTGGTAAGAGACGTATTATTGGTTTGACTAGAGATGCTGCCAAACAGGCAAAACAAATTGCAAAACAATTCTCAGAAAAGATTGATGAACTTGAGAAATTACCAGATGAAACCTATTGTGCTCGTTATTATGAACTCAATTCTGAATTGGATAAACTTACGGGAGCTCCATTACTTGAAAAGAGAAATTTGGAAAAGAGATTAGGAGAAGCTTATTTGAAGGTTCGCAAGATCCAACAATCACAAAAGAAGGATGACTTGGAAAAGGCAAACCAAATTATCAAGTCGCTCAAAGAAACCATCGAGCAAAAATCATTGAAATATCTCGTTTATCAGTTGGAAGATGGAAGCGATCAAAAATTTGTCAAAAAAGTTTGTGACGCTCTCACTACTATTCCAGTCTTACTCATTTCCAAGGCTGATGATAAGAACGTGATTGTTATGGCTTACGTGCCAGATCAATTCACTCAAAAACTTGGTGCTAACACATGGGTCCAAGAAACATGTAAGGTTGTGAATGGTAAGGGTGGTGGTAAACCATCTTTCGCACAAGGACGTGGTGCAGATTTGTCCAAAGTTGCTGATGCTGTGAAATTGGGCGAGGAAATGGCCGCAAAATTCAATTAAATTCATTATCAGCGATGCTGATAGTTTTCATGCATTTGAAATGTCACCACTATTGTCAATAGTTTTCAATTAATTGTAGACTCGTATATTGGGAGTTAGATCTTTGGGATTTCCTTTAATTGGTGGGGACGCAAATCGCTACAACACAATATAGAGACAGATTGATCTCAAAGTTTTTTCACTTGGAAAGAAACAAATCCGTCGTAATTGACTTGGAGAATTTTGATCTTCAATTTGACAAGCCCTTCTCTTTTGGTTTGAATTGTTGTGAATGTGATACGGTCATCGATGAGATGGTCACATAAAGGGATGGTACTCTTCTCCCCATGAATGGCTTTCAATAAAGTATTGGTAGCTTCAATCCTTGTTTTTACATCTTGTTCAACATCGTCAAATACCTTGTCACACCCTTCAGCTAAAATATCCACTTTGATAATTTTCAAGTTTGGCAAATGCTCAAACATTGGTTGAATGGTGTATGGAAGATTATCAAAGAAAAAACTTAATATTTCAATGCATGGAAATTTCTTGTTAATTAGGTGCAATGTCTTTTCGATCCTTTTTGATTCTCCGTCTAATTCTTCTCTGTCTTCCGCCATTTCACCATTTTCGTCAGCATCATCAATTTCTTCGTCAATATTTTGGTCACCCTCTTCGTCTGAATAAACTGTAATTGAGTCAATTAAACTGTTAAAATCAATATTTCTCAATCGCATTCGCATATCCTCATAAAACTCTTTCATTGTATAACCTTCACCTTCGTATTCATCACTCATTGAAAAGTAGACCAAATTCGGACATTCGGCAGCTATTTTTCTCAAATCTTCCTCATAGGGTGTGCTGTCCACAAAATTTAAACTTGTGAGCTGAGGCATTGAGTTGAAAATAACTGGTACATTTCCACTTTCATGTAAATATCTTTCTCCGAATTGTAAATTTACCAACTTCTTGCAATTTGTTGCAATTGATTGAAATAATTCGTTCGAATAACACATGTGATATCCCATTGTAAGCTTTTTCAAGTTTGGAATAGTCTTGAATAAATAATCATAATTCTCTTCTGGATAAAAAAAAGTCAAGATGTAATTCTTCCAAACTGTCAAAGACAAGGTCTCCAAATGATTGTACACAATTTAGCCCTATTTTCAATGATTTGAGTTGTGTACAGTGTGTGAGGAGAGTCTTGTACAACAAATAGGAGAAAGAATGTGTTGCAGCTGCTGCATCTTGATGGTTTTCGAACGAATCCTGTTGAGGCACTTCCAAATGTTCCAAATCTTTCAAGGTGGAAAACCACTCGAGTAACACCTGAATTTCATTCTTTTTCAAATGAGTGACAAATATTTGGAATTGATCACCAAATCTCAATCGTTTCAAACCTGTGAACACTCCGCTTTGCAATGCAAAGTTAAACATTTTCATAGAAAAGGTCATTCCAATAACATCATTACAATCGCCAACTCTTCCCAAATCCAAATATTTGCAACCCTTCACAGGATTGCACTTGAACATAATTTTGAATAATCTCAACATGAAATCACTCGAGAAGTGAATATTCTTTTTGCCAACAAAATACCTGGAAGGACAACCTTCGGGTTTGAAAGCCAATGATACCTTTTCATAGAGAGGGTAACAATTTCGGCCTTTCTTCTCGAGAAGATGCCTCACGAGGGGTTGTTGCTTGGCTCCTTGATGAGAATCATCACTGTTAGAATCCAAAGCAATGCCTCCAGTCAAATGATAAAATCTCTTACACGTTCTCATGATACTTCCGAGAAGATCATGAAGAGGATGAAGAAAGGAAAAAACAACTGAAAAGGAATCATCATCGAGCTGAAAAAGAATCCCATCCATCGATGTTTTTTGAGAAGTAAACGACGGTTGTTCCGAATCCACATGATGGTGGTTCATGTTGGGTTTTACTTTCTTTCTGCAAGATCCAGTGCTTGTTGTTGGGAGGAGTGGAGCTCCTTCTTGTTCAAAAGATCGTTTCATCTTTTGTTCTTGTATTTTTTTCTTGAAAATAATGGAATATTGTGTCTGTTGATTTTTTGGTCACACACAGCGCGGCAATTTGAATTAGAAATTGCATTCCAGTAATTTTATCATTCAATGATGTCGATGTGATTCTCATCACTCTTTATATCCTCAATGAAACTGGTTTGAATGCAAAACAACCTGGTTGGCACCCTGTATTGGGCACGTGTCATCATGCCGAGGGGTTGAAAGAGACTTCTTCAATCTGAAATTTTGACCTGCCAGTCCAGGTGTAATTTTGACAGGCTACAGAAATTATATGCGTTGAGTTAAGAGATTGAGCTTTTTCAGAGTGACAATATCAACATAAATGATGTGACTTGAGATCATTTACAACCGTCAGATGTCCTTGAATTTCACCCGCCATTCATTAGTTACTGCACCAAATCAAGCAAAACAATCTTCCTTAATACAAAAATACAACATAATTCAAAAAAACAAACAATAACGGCAAATGAATCTTAAATCGACAAGATTTGTCGTTATTGCGACTCTTCTTCTCCTTTGTATGTTATTTTTGACATTGGTTTCAGCTGCACCTCGACGAATGCCCTCCAAAACCAGCGGAGGAGCAGGAAGGGCAAAACCATCAGGTGGTTCTGTCTCGAGAAGCTCTTCATCTACCTCCTCCTCCAGAAGAGGTTCTCCTAGTGCAAGAATTGCTTCAAGAAGAAGGACTGGAGGAGCTCCTGGTAAACCATCCTCCTCCTCAAACAAAGGTTCCATCAGTTTAGGAAGAAAAGGAAGATCCTTATCTCCTCAACAGAGAGCACAAGGAGCATTGAATCGATTTGGAGCAGCCAAAAACAAGCTCAATCAATTGAACAACCTAAAGAATCAAGCCTTACAAAAGAGACAACAAGCTTCTGACATTTTAAAGAAAGCGAAAGAACAAGCCGGTGCATGGACTGGAGGAGGTGAACCAAATGGAGGAAGTGAACCACAAAAACCAGCTCAGGAACAATCTCCTTCACAAGACTCAGCAGAGACTTCCAATTCAGCCAACCCAAGTGCTGAGCCTCAACAAAGTGCATCATCAACAATAACCACTCCAGAGCAAGCAAAAGGAGAGACCCAAAACCGACCTGTCGAACCAAATAACGCTGGAACCTCAGAAGGAAATACCCCACTGAGCTCTTCTGCACAATCGTCAACAACAACGACCACATCTTCTCAAGAGAATGGAGGATCATCTTCCTCAAATAACAGTGGAAATACTCCAATTTACAATCAGGCAGCAACCTCTCAACCATCACAACAAGGTTCTGATCCTTATAGCGTCGATTTGGGATCATTTGAATCTCATCACTCAGCAGTGGTCAAGAAGGTTAGAAAATTGAGAGGAGGAGGCATCGAATTGGTAATCAATGTCAATGTCAAATAAAGTTGTTATGTTCCGTATAATGAACTCAAAGAATTAACGGAACTCTCATTCATGAGGATGTTTGTCAACTCAGCCACTTGGCGAAGTTTCTTAAAACTGTAAATCGAGTCATTGTATAACGTAGTGTCCTGACAGTTAGGTCAGTTTTACACTGGTGGCACTTCTACTTTGCATCTTCATCTCTCATTGTCGCGCGTGCGCACGAAAAAGTTTAAATCTTCGATTTGTTCCTAAAGGCTGAATAAAGGAGTGGTTTACTCTGCGCAAAAATTGTCCCTTCGATGGGTGATGACTTGACTTGCGACAGGGGGATATCCCGAGATCATATTTGAGTTTTTACTACGTCGCTAGACGGACCGAAACATTTTCAAAAAATTTATTCAAACCGATCAAATTGTTCTGGGTCATAATCTCGGGAGATGCCAACAGAACAAATCACTCTTGGCAGCACAACTGGTAAGTATTTGAGACGGTTGTTGGAAAGTGAGTCAACATTTCTGTCGGTTGTCATGTTAACAATAATGGATAATGTGCACATGTGTGGCTGACGGTCGTTTTTTTTGACCAAATAATGAATTTCCTATGCGACACGTCATTCCCTGTTCAATAGCCACAAGAGAGGTTATTGGTTTTAACCTTTCCTTGTTAAAAGGAGGAACTATTACTCAAACCATTGGTACGTGTAAAGTGCTTGTTATTATTCTTGAATGTTTGGATAATTGTTGTTTGAACTCATTGTGGTCATGACAAATGTCAAACTAATAATATTGGCACGTGTTGACACGTAATGGATCATTTGAACTCTCAGTGGGTGGTGTCATTACTGCTCTTGTGGTTGCTTCCACTGTTGCTACCATCATTCTCGTCTCTGTGGGAGTTGGTTATTCTCCACCTCTCGCAAAGAATGACTTTGCCACCACTTACAAGCGTGTGCCTATTACAAGTAAGTAATTTGACTTCTCATTAAATCTCATACCTTCCATTACATAAATATGCACGTGTGGAAAACTCATGTTGACTCCTCGATTTAAAACAATAGTCAATGTCTTGTTGAACGATGTCGATCCTCGTGGTGGTAATTTGACTTTGACTGATATTGCCATTCAACCTCAATATGGTACTGTCAAGATTGTTTCTCGTACCTCTGTAATGTATCAATCTCTTGGGGCATTTTGTGGTAATGATACTTTTTCATATGTGGTTTCAAATGTAAGTAATTTTTTCAGCGTGTTCGAATGATTCATGATCGATGCTGACACATGCTTATTCCTCTTTGCATGATCACCTCTTACATGCTCAATGTTACGAACAAACAACAAATTCCCACAGTCTTTTCTTACTGCCAATGCCACCGTTACTGTTCAAGTCTTGAATAGAGCTCCTCAAGCGATACCAATTGCCAAGACTGTTCCAAAGAATTCTCCAAAATTCCAAGTGGATATCTTCTCCTACATTGGAGACAATGGAGAACGTATCTCAGATATTGATAATGATGTTCTCTTTGTAACTGGTTTCTCTGACAATAAGATTGTTTCTGGTGGAAGCTCTTCACAATTGGGACTTGTTCAAGTTGATAAGTTTACAGGTTTCTATTATACTCCTTCTCCAAATTTCAATGGAGTTGAACAATTCAATTATGCCATTTCTGATGGTAATGATACTTCAACTTCAACTGTTACTTTGACCATTGCCAATAATCCACCTGTGGCTGTTGATGATGTTTATAGAGTTCCAAAGTATAGATCTGCTGTATTGAATGTCTTGTCCAATGATTATGATATCAATGGTGATAATATTACTCTCACTCGTGCATTAGGTGCAAGTTATGGAGCTGTCAGTGTGAGCAAAGACAAGTTGACCGTTTTCTATACAACCTCAAGCGTCATGACCACAAAGTATGGAGACTCATTCGAGTATTCCATTACTGATGGTAATGCCGAGAGTTCTGCTGTAGTCTTTGTTCAAGTTTACAACAATCCTCCTCAAGTTTTTGGACAAACTGTCAATGTTGCCAAGTCATCTGTCAACAACAACATTCCAATTATTTACTATGATCCTGATGAAAAGGATTTAGTGACTCTCACCAAGGTTTCACCATCCTTGCCACAAGGTTCCATCAAAGCTACCAAGACCTACGCTGTCAAGTACTTTGAGTGTTGTGATTATATCAATGTTGAAATTAACAATTACACCATTGTCTTTACTCCAACTCCAAACACTGTCTACACAACCTCTTTTGACATTACCATGAATGATGGTGAAGCAGATGGATCTGGAAAGATTACTGTCAATGTTGTCAATACTCCACCAGTGGCTGTTGATGACAATGCAAGCTGTGGAAAGAACTTACAAACTCTCATTAATGTGGTCGCTAATGATTATGACAATGATGCAGGTGACACTGCTCTCATCAAATTGACAACTGACTCTTGGACAACTGCCACTCAATTGGGTGGATCTGTGACTCTCTTCAATGACACTCATGTTTTGTATGTTGCTCCAACTGGTAAGGTTGGTCAAACTGATGTTGCTACTTATAGAATTACTGATCAAAGTAAGACCAGCTCTGGTTTTCCAGATCCAACAAGTTTTGCCACTGGTAAAATTTATATTAATCTTGTCAATAATCCACCAACTCCAGCCGATGATACATTTACCATTCCAAAGGGTAAATCCACTGTTTTGAATGTTTTGGCCAATGATGCTGATCCAAATGATGGACCTTCCTCTGTGAGAGTTATTAACTCTGTCGATGCTTCTTCCAAGAAGAATATCTTGCCATCTATTTTGAGAAACCAAATTGGTGGAAACAAAGATGCTTTGTCCTATGCTGCTGTCAATCAAGAATATACTGATTCTTTCACTTATGATGTCACTGATCAAGATGGAATGACATCCACTTATAAGGCTATTGTGACATTGAATGTTGTTAACACTGCTCCAGTTGCTGCAGATGATTCTTTTTCCACTTTATGGAATAGAGGTGTTGATTGCAATGTTAAGGCTAACGATCAAGATGAAAATGGTGATTTACCATCTTCAACGATTCAAGTCACAACTCTTCCTGGACACGGTACTGCAATTGTTGTTGGTGACATTGTGAGATACACTCCAGCAAATGGATATGTCGGTCCTGATTCATTCCAATATCAATTGAATGATGGTTCCTCTTCAAATGCACTCTCCAATGTTGCAACTGTCACCATCAATGTCATCAATAATGCTCCTGTCACTGTTTCTGACTCTGTCACTACTCACTGGAATAATCCAACTGGTGTGGTCATTTCCCCTCTCGTCAATGACAATGATCCAGATGGAGATGCTCTTTCTGTTTCTGCTGTTAGCTCTGATCCTGCCACTGTTGGTACAGCAACACTTGTTGATTCTCAAACTGTTCGATTTGTTCCAAGTACTTCCAAACCAATCACTATTGGATCCAATGTTAAACAATTCACTTACACTGCTTCTGATTCCAACAAGCAAACCATTGGTACAATCTTTGTCACTCTTACCAATAACAAACCAGTTCCATCGGATGACACTTTCACTTTGCATTGGTCTGCTCCTGCCACTGTTTTGGATGTTTTGAAGAATGATGTGGATGCCGATGGTGACTCACTTACTGTTTCAAGTGTTGACACTACTGCTACTTCTGGTTCTGCTGTGGTTACTTCTGGAAGTGGTTCTGTCACTTATACACCAAATAAGAGTTTCATGGGTGTCACTGATCAATTCAAATATACTGTGAATGATGGTGCTCAAGACTCTGCCAATCAAGGAACTGTCACGATTCAACTCACTAACAATGACAAACCAACTGCCTCTGATGTCTCTTATTCCGTTCATTGGAGAGTTTTGCAAAATGCTGGAGGTTATCAAGATTTCGATGTACTTTCTGGTAAGACCACTGACAATGATGGAGATTCTCTCTCTGTTTCCGTTGTTACCTCAAGCTCATGTTCTGTTGTCAACAATAAGGTTCGTGTGACTGTTGCAAGTGGAAGTGCCATTGGTCCTACTTCATGCTCATTCACTGTCACTGATGGTCACGATAGTGTGACAAAGACTGCCACTGTGATTACTTTCAACACTGATCCAACATGTTCTGATATTACAGTTTCATTTGATCCAAACAATTTCGCTACAGGACAAAAGATTGCAGTGACCAGCTTTGTTAATGATTTGGATGCTGCTGATGTCAGTTTCTTAATGCCAACTCAACTCGGTGGAATACAGGTTGGAGATTCCCTCACTGTTGTCACAAGTGATAGATCTCTTCTTTTCAAACCAGCCCAGACTGTTTCAACTCGTCACATGACTTATAAGGTTACTGATGGTGTTGTAAATTCTGCATCTTGTGCATTGACAGTTGACGTTTCATCGACTTCACCAAGCGCTTATACTAAGAGTGTCTCTGTTCATTGGAATTCTGCCAATAACCAAATTGATATCTTCTCCGCCATTCCAACTTCAACCTACCAAACCATCTATCCAGGATATTCTGCCACTTCGATTACGTATAATTCCGGTAATAAGATGATTTACTACACACCAAAGAAGGCTGTTGGTTTTGACAAGTTCATTGTTGGTATTAAGGATTCTCTCAACACTCCTCAAAACGTCACTGTTTCTGTCACTATTTACAACAATGCTCCAAGTGCTTCTGTTCCACAAGCTTCAGTGGTTTGGAGTTCAACTGGTATTGATATTGACCTTCTTGTTGCCTATTCTGATGCTGACATGACTGCTGGTTATGAACCATTGGGAACTGTCACTTCTCTTGACACCACTGGATGCAAAGGAAGTGTAACCCTCAAGGCTGACAAGAGAACGGCAACATTTGTTCCACAAGGAACTTTCACTGGTTTGACTCAATTCAAGGCAACTGCCACTGACGGTATTGCTACAACTACTTTCACTGTCTCAGTTCAAGTCACTAATCAAGCTCCAGTCACTCAACCAAAGACTGCCACCATTTCTTGGTCTCAACACAAGGCAGGTTACACCATTAATGTATTGAATTATGGTGGTAAGGTTGATACAGATGCAGATGGAAATGCTTTGACTGCTTCTCTCACGAGTGGTGTTTCTCCATCAACTGCTGGTTCAGTTGTTCTTTCTGCTTCACCAAATGCATTAGTCAATGCTGGATCAAGCGTTTATTTGGGTTCATTCTCATTCTCTTATGCTGCCTCTGACTCTGTGACTTCAACTCCAGGAAGTGTCACAGTGACTGTCACAAATACTTTACCATCTCCATCACCTGTCAATACGAATGCTCACTGGAGATCTAGTGGTATCACTCTTGATCCTGTTGTAAGCTATGCTCCAACCCGAAAGGATTCTGATGGTGACTCATTGACCATTACTGCTGCTTCTGCTTCAAAGGGTACTGCTGTTGCTAATACCAACACTATCACTTATACTGCTCCTTCAGTCCTTGGTTTGGATGTCGTCTCGTACACTCTCAGTGATGGTGCTCAAACTGTGTCAAATGCCAACACTGTTGTCAATGTCAATGTGTTCAACACGAATCCAAATGCTGCTTCTTTGAATATCAATACCGTCTGGTCTAAATCGACCACCAAAGATTTAACTGGAGCTTGTACTGATACTGACCCATTGGATGCTTCCTATGTGAGATTTACTGGTACAGTTTCTAATGCTGTTGGAGGAACCACTTCAGTGAGTGGAAATATGCTGACATTCACTCCAAATCTTGCTGCTTCTTCATATTCATTGTCTGGAAATGTTTACACAGGAAGTGGTAGCTTCCAGTACACTTGTACGGATGGTATGGGAACAACCACAGGACCTGTCTCTGTCACGATCACCAATAATGCTCCAACTGGAACTGGTGCTTCGATCAGCATCGCAAGAGATTACACCAAGACAACCTATGATTTCACATTTGCTCAAATGGGTACATTCTCTGATGCTGATGGTGATATCATTTCAGTGATTAAGGTTGCCACCACTTCTGACGTCACTGTCACCACTACTGCCACTGGTATTCGATTGACTACTTCTCAAACGGTTCAAGGTGCTAAAGCCATTACCTTCAAATTGTTTGATGGACTTCATGAAAGTGTTAATACTTTGACATTCACTGTTACTTTCACCAATGCTGCTCCAACATGTGTTGCTGCCACTTTCAATGTCAATAAGGGACAAAGTGTTGACTTGTTACCAACACTCAAATTGCAAACATCAGATGCCAACAATGATCAACTCACTATTAACTTGGCTGGTTCTGTTCCATCCACATTGGGTACTTTGAGTGGAACGACCTTCACTGCTTCCTCAACCAAGAGTGGTACAAGCACTGCTCTCACATTCTCTGTTTCTGATACTCAACTCAGCAATTCATGTGTAATTACCATCAATGTGATCAATGCTGCTCCAACTGCTCAAAATGATGTATGGGCTATAGCAAGTAGTTCTCAATTAACTTATACCTATTCTTATACCAAGTTCTCAGATTCTGACACTGCTGATATTCTTACTGTAACCAAGGTTTCTGATACTTGTAGTTCAATTGCTACTTCAGTGACCATCTCTACTGCTGGTCTGATCACCTTCAATCGACAAAGCTCTGTGACTGCAGGATCATGTACTTTGAATGTTAAAGTTACAGACAGCGACAATAACCCACTCTCAGCCACTGCCACGATCACTATTGGTCTTTCTTCTCAAACACCAGTGGCAAGAAATGATCGATTCTCAATTAATCAAGGACAAACAATTAGAATTTATGTTTCACAAATGTTGGCCAACGATACTGATGAATTTGGTTCAAGCAGTAGCCTCACATTTGTTGGATTCAGTTGTCCAGATTCTACTTATTGCCACAGAACTCCAAGACAAATTAATGTCAATGGACAAGTTGCTATTGAAGTTGATAGTGATCCTTTAACCTGTCAAGCAGACAAATTCAGATATACCATGCAAACATCCTTTGGTGTTCAAAAGAGTGCAGATGTTTTCATTGAATTCAAGAATTGTTATTGTACAGCCAAGATTGACTTTGTTTTCTTGATTGACGCTTCTGGATCAATTGGTACTGACAACTTTAATAACATAAGAACCTTCTTAAAGAGTATTACAGGTAGATTTAAGCTTGGTATTGATGCCATTCAAGTTGGTATTGTAAAATTCCATGACGATAACACCATTGCTTTAGAATTGTCCACGGATGGAACTGCCATTAACAATACTTTGACTAATATGGCCTATGATGCAGGATCTACTGCTCAAATTTCAGGATTAAGAGGAGCTTTACAAGTTTTGAGAAAGGGAAGACCAGATGCTGCAAAGGTTATTTACATTTTGACTGACGGTATGGCAAACGTACCTTGCAAGTAAGTTGGAAGTTCCTTTTGCTGAGCTAATTAATTTACATTACTATTTTATAACTTATACATAGCTGTGACGATTGTGCTTGGGGTAAGTGTAATTAATCTTGATGTTTATTCATATGTGAATTATAACATTTAACTTTTTTAACATTACAAAAGAATGGTCAAGTGTTCCAACTGTCTATCAATATAGTGTCGACACACAAATCACCAACAATCCTGCATTGACTAGCAAGCAAAAGAGTACTGCCTACAAGAATTTGTGCAAGTATCAATTTAGTGACACAGCTTGGACCTTCTCTGGAAAAGATTGTAACTATTGCAATTGGTGGAACACTGATTCCTATTGTTTACCATGCTCTGATGCTGTTCCAATTGCTAAAAAGATCAATTCATGGAAGAAGGATGCTAATGGAAACATGCCAAATGATCCTGACAATCCATTCAATGGAAACACCAACGTTCAATGGAAGATTGTTGCTATGGCTGTAGGACCTGCCATGTCATTGCCAACTGGTGCTCGTCAAATTCAAGGAATGAATTATGATCCATCTCGTGCCATGACTGTGTCTTGGACTGACTTGCAATCCACCTTGTCTGAAATTGTCGATCAATCGTGTAACCTTGTTTCTGTTCAAGTTGGACAATAAATAATGAAATTGTTGATCGTTCAACAGCCAAATATTTTTGAAAGTCATCAGCTGGAGAGGGAATTAAGTGTGATTTCTATTACACAAGGTTACGTTACATGAGTTGAGTGTTTGTTGTGATTTTATGATGAAGTCAAGTTGGAGAAACCTGAAAGTATTGGGAGAGAAATGAATACAACCGCTTATTGAGATGGTTATACTTATGCATTTGTATCAGGTACATACGGTCATCCAATAATGCAAGGGTTTGGGTTTGGGTTTGGGTTTGGGTTTGGGTTTGGGTTTGGGTTTGGGTTTGGGTTTGGGTTTGGGTTTGGGTTTGGGTTTGGGTTTGGGTTTGGGTTTGGGTTTGGGTTTGGGTTTGGGTTTGGGTTTGGGTTTGGGTTTGGGTTTGGGTTTGGGTTTGGGTTTGGGTTTGGGTTTGGGTTTGGGTTTGGGTTTGGGTTTGGGTTTGGGTTTGGGTTTGGGTTTGGGTTTGGGTTTGGGTTTGGGTTTGGGTTTGGGTTTGGGTTTGGGTTTGGGTTTGGGTTTGGGTTTGGGTTTGGGTTTGGGTTTGGGTTTGGGTTTGGGTTTGGGTTTGGGTTTGGGTTTGGGTTTGGGTTTGGGTTTGGGTTTGGGTTTGGGTTTGGGTTTGGGTTTGGGTTTGGGTTTGGGTTTGGGTTTGGGTTTGGGTTTGGGTTTGGGTTTGGGTTTGGGTTTGGGTTTGGGTTTGGGTTTGGGTTTGGGTTTGGGTTTGGGTTTGGGTTTGGGTTTGGGTTTGGGTTTGGGTTTGGGTTTGGGTTTGGGTTTGGGTTTGGGTTTGGGTTTGGGTTTGGGTTTGGGTTTGGGTTTGGGTTTGGGTTTGGGTTTGGGTTTGGGTTTGGGTTTGGGTTTGGGTTTGGGTTTGGGTTTGGGTTTGGGTTTGGGTTTGGGTTTGGGTTTGGGTTTGGGTTTGGGTTTGGGTTTGGGTTTGGGTTTGGGTTTGGGTTTGGGTTTGGGTTTGGGTTTGGGTTTGGGTTTGGGTTTGGGTTTGGGTTTGGGTTTGGGTTTGGGTTTGGGTTTGGGTTTGGGTTTGGGTTTGGGTTTGGGTTTGGGTTTT